TCAAGCGCATCAGCAACARCGTTACAAAGGCACGRCAGCTATTAGCCCGGTGCCTGGCGCAGCCCGGCTCTCGCCTCGTCTCACAGTGCCACCACTCTAAGGTAGGTACCCGCCCTCTCTCTCTCTTTGCGTGTTACAGTCGGTCGTACTTACTTACTGATACGACCGGAGCAAGTAAAGCCCAAGTTTGCAAGGGGAAACGATAAAGAACAGAAGGGCTGAACCTACCCCTGAATATGAAAAAAACACATTGTCATACTCGTCCCCTGTATGCAACTCGAATGAATTTTATGCCAAAAACAAGGGAAGATACATCCCACTTAATTGCCCAACTCTTTGTATGCAGCCCGCGTTTCCCACCGCCCAGAGACCGCAGCTTTATCGTGGAATCCGGGCCCGTCATCGGACTCGCAATCTTTCAAGAACCCCTGCCTACTGCTCTAACTTGCTCGTTCTCATCGATTATCGAGCGAGATCATGAGCTCTTCCCCTGCCACCTTCACTATACCCAACACTTCCGCGCGCTACACTTCTCTTACTAACTCTACTTACACTCCTCCCACCACCAAACTAACTCTGTTAATCGATTCGCAGTGCCTAAAACCTCCGAAACGAATCCTTACTCCCCCGTTTTCATCAAGAAACGGGCGAGTTACATAAGTTTCGCTCCTGCCACAGTCCCTTCCGCCATCTCTCCGCGCACACGTTTCTCTACTAACCTCCTTTCCTACTGACTTTCTCTTAAAACTAACGTCATAGTTAGACTCGCCGACCCCTAAACCCCTTTCTAGACTCTTCGCCCGATTCTACCAAGAATCAAGCGCGCTGTGCATCCTTTCGTCCGTCATAGCCTCGCTCCATTCATCCCTAACTCCGAATGCACCTAGCGCGCCCCCCCGTCCACATTCATCCCCCTTTTTCCCTCACCTCGTCGCAGCCTTTTCTTTGCTGCGCTAACAGCTGCCTCCCGTCGTTCTCCGCCCTCCGTCCGTCGGCCCCTGCCTCCGTAACTCCCCGTCGCTCCGTTTGCGCCAGCGCCCGCCCGGTAGTCAGCCGGCCTGAGGGAAAAGTCGGAGGGACCCAGCTATTAGCYGGTTCGATTAGTCTTTCGCCCCTATACCCAAGTCCGATCGGCTCATCGTGCGAACAGCAGCGCTGTGGGCTTCACCGGAGTCCCACTGCTATGTAGCGCCTCCCCCTCTACTGCGCTATCTACTCCCTTGCTCGCATGCACCAGGCGCTCGCCCGCGTCCGGGTCCATCCGCCACTGTGCCACCCTATCGCGCTATTACTCCCTTGCTATTGCGCAGCACCGCTCGCCCGGCCCGTCGCTCTGGCCTAACGCTCGTCCCCGCTGCCGCAGGCACCCGCCTCCTTCCAAAGTAGGACCGCGGAGTAAAGTCAGAGCGCCCCGGCTCTTTCGTGATTTATCWKTGTCATCCCAGCGCAGGCGCCATGCRAATCTTCTGTGTATCCTTCCAATCTTAACGGATGTCCCAAAGGACTTCAGCCAGGGGAATGCCCTGTGACTCCTCCGAAGGCCACACGGCCTCCCCCTTTGCACTTGCGCACGCACCGGGCCAGGCTTGCGTCCGGGATACCGTGCCCCAAGTCAAACGGGGCCGCGCATAATAGTGAAAACAATAACTAGAAGTAAAAATAAAATAACACACACACATGAAAATTCCTAAACAAAAGACRAGAACTGTTGGTATCCTACCGGCCCCGTGGACCGGGCCTGCCGCCGCGCCTCCGAACAAAACTGAAGGGGATAGCCCTGGCGGCCTTCAACCCCAACGGTTCCTTCCRCGACGCCCCGCTGCGGCTGCCTCGCCGATGCTTGCTAACCTCGATCCCCAGACCTCCATATCGTCAACCCACTACCGTAACCTATAGGGCTAAGCCCAAGCCTGGGACCAAATCCCRCAGAATACCTATATAGGCAGTGCGGCGCGATGCTTTGGGCCAACAAGATTTATACTATGCCATAACTGCCCCGCGCACCATCCTGCGACACCTCGCTTACCGCACGAAATCGCGCYTTTATTGCCGATGCCGTCGCCGGGGTCGTYTCCCCGCACGCGCACTCGCCTCAATCAAGCGTACCGATCAACCGAAAATATCCCTAGTTCCTGCTTAATCAAATATAAATAGATATTAATAATACCTTTAAACAAACGAACGATGATCAACAGCGGATAGGAATCACACGCGCCTTAAACCTGCGCGC